TTGGGCATATCGTCAGATATCGGCAACCAGACCTCCTTTCTCCTCCTCCCTTCCTCCCTCCTCCCTCCTCCCTCCTCCCTCCTCCCTCCCTCCTCCCTCCTCCCTTCCTCCTCCTCCTCCTCCTCCTTCTCCTCCTCCTCCTCCTCCTTCTCCTCTCCCTCCTCCTTCTCCTCCTCCTTTTGTAGAATCGGCTCGCGTTCTGTTACCAAGCCACCATGATCTGGACGTGGCGGATTCTTTGGGGCACAGTGTCGTGGTGTTGCCGTGTACGGATGGTGCCGATTTCTTTGTTTGCCCAATGTGTGGCGGGTATATGCATCAGGCTGTTTTTGTTAAAACGTCGCTCTCGAAGGCTTGTGCACTTGAATTGAAAGGCCGCGGCCGCACTAAGTTCAATAACATCATCCAGGGACGATACCCCGGGAAGAGGCTGGGTGTAGGCAGATCTGAAGAGCTGCCAGCTGATTTTGTTCCCCTCGACTCGTCCGTGCCTCCCCCCCTCGACGGTCTTGTGGATGAAGTCGAGCCCAGATCGCTCCGACAAGTGGCTAGCGGGCCTCGTCTGGAGAGCTCCGCCACGGGGGCTCAGGGCCCTGCTGCCAGTTCTGGCCTGCATGGATGACAGAGAGCTGGCAATGCGGATTGCGCTGTCGAGTCTGACTCTTCGGATTGATTTGTTCGGGTGTCTTTTTGCCCCACTTCTGTTGTTTCTATTGGGAGCGGTGACTCCGCCTTTCTTCTTGTGTGCTGACTTTTAGTCTGAGTGACAGGCCCACACCAGGGATAGGGCGTGCCTATCGTCCTGGCGTTTTTCACACCAGGGGTAGGCATTGCCGAGTCGTCCTGGCGTCGCCTAACTTGCTTGTTCCTTGTACGTGTGCGCGCGCGCTGCCTGCACGCGTATCAGGCACCCCAGTTGTGGGGGAAGGTGTACTGCACGGGTGGATGGCTTATCCCGTGGGCCTTGCGCGGGGGTGGTTTCCGCCCTGACCGATGTGAAGCCTCGGGTGCTGGTGTTTTCTCTTCCCAGGTTCAGCTGTGTAAGTGCTTACGTCCTGGCGTTCTTTACACCAGGGGTTAATATTGCGCATTGTCCTGGCGTCGGCCAGGTAGTCTTGCTCTGTGCGTACGTGCGAGCGTTTTCTGCACGGGTATCAGGCCCCACACTTGTGGGGGAAGGTGCGCTGCGCGTGTGGATGGATGTCCTTGTGGCCTTGCACGGGGGTGATGTCCGCCCCGACCGATGCTGTGCCACAGTTTCGGTTTCTTGTTTCCCTGGATTGCGCTGGGGTTGTCTGGGGTTGGGGCTCTCTCGGGGGTGGTGCAGGTTACGCAGCCTGCCATGGTACCCGAGCCTTGGGGTTCCTCCCCCGTTTGTTGTCCCCATCCCCTTTCTTCTTTTCTCGGTGGGAGTTGCGGGCGCGTCAGCGGGGGGTGCAGGTTACGCAGCCTGCCCCGAACCCGAGCCTTGAGGTTCCTCCCGCCGCCGTTGCCCTGCCCCCCCTCCTTTTCCCAGTCGGGTTTTAGCTTCCCTGGAGCACGACCAGGCTGTCCTCGCTGGCCCCTGGTGGCCGCTGCGCAGGAGAAGCCAGTGGGTGCATTGGGCATGGAGGCAGCTGGGAAGCCAGTTGCCCCGACCGATGCTCATCCCACCCTCCCTCAGAGAGGAGGGGTAGCCTCCCTGGGCGCAACGCCGTCCCGGGTGGCTTTTTACGCCAAGCGTGCGTCCTCTGAGGGTTTCGCCGCCCCTCAGTTGCATCGTGGCTGCACTGTGGATGTTTAACAAAAATCCTCCTCCTCCTCCTCCTCGTCCTGTGCACGTTTGTGCACGGCCATGTATCTCCAGGGCGCACCTGGGCGATTGTCTCGCTGGCGCTGTTGGAAGAATGGGGTCTGCCGGACTGGCCCGCCTGGATCGGCGCTGCAAGGGGGGAGTCCGCCCTCCCGGCGTACAAAGTACACATCCGGGACACCCTCAAGGCCAGATGCAGCGCAGCCCTACGCCTACGACTGCACACGCGGGTCCGAGTGCCCGCCCCGCTTTCGCTCGGCCCAGTGCCCCGGGATGACCTTTCCACAGCGCTCTCTCTGCGCCTGCCCAGCACGGCCCTCTTCGGCCAGCGCTCCCTCAGTCGGCTCCGGTGCCAGCTCCTTGTCTTGAGCCACTCAGCAGGAGTCCGCTCGAGGGCCCGACGGCAGGTCTGTGTCTGCTGTCAGGGGCAGATTCTCAGCCCCATGCTGCATGTCCTGGGGAGCTGCAGCAACACTGGCGTGGCGAGGGCGGCATTCTGGGCAGCGCGCGGCTCCCCGCCTCCGCCGTCCAGGGAAGCAGCGGTCCGCGAGATCCTCTCGGTCCGCCCAGGGGAGGCCGGATTCGCGGAGGCAGCCACCCTCGCCAGAGACATTGACCTCGCTGTGTCGAGGTTCTGGGGCCCAGTGGCGGACTAAAAGCTCGCCTGTCCTCCGCTCGGCCCGTCCTCCTTGCCTGCGTCCCACCTCCTCTCCCTCCCTCCGGAGCCGGAGGGTCGGGCAGAGCCAGGCTGGGCACGCTGAGGTTCAGGTGGATTGGCCCCTCCCCCCTCCTCTCCCTGGGAATGGCTCTCCCCCCCTTCCTTCCGACGCCGCGCCACGCATCTGCGCCATGCACTGGCAGGGCCCCGGTCGGAAGGTCATGCAAGAGCTCCAATCGGAGAGGCCCTCCGGCTCTCCTCCGATTGGCCAATTCCCCCTCCACGGCCAGGCTTTTCTCCGACCCCCCACTTCCGAAGACGGGACGGTGCTGGGGAGGGCGGGGCCTGTAGCCCAGCTCCACCCACTCCTCCCCCTTCAGAATGCGGAGGCGGACTCAAGCTTGGTCGGCGTGGGGTCGCGCACGACGGCCCTCCCGGGCCCCAGGCGCCCCCCACGAAAAGGCGGCCATGCATGAGGCCTCCGACCGCCTCCTCTGGAGGACCAGTCCAGTCCTACCTCCTACCTCGTACCTCCTACATCCCTCCCTCCTCCCTCCTCCCTCCTACCTTCTCCTCCGCCTCCTCCCCCTCCTCCCTCCTCCTCCTCCTCCTCCTCCTCCTCGTCGCCCTCCTCCTCCTCCTCCTCCTCCTCGTCGCCCTCCTCCTCCTCCTCCTCCTCCTCCTCCTCCTCCTCCTCCTCCTCCGACGACGACGACGACGACGACGACGACGACGACGGCGACGACATATGAGCGACGGAACACGACGGGGTCGATTGCGCCGACATTCGCGCGTAAGCTTCTTGCGCAAGGCCGCGCGTGAGCACCCTCGGCCCGCGTGAGCCTCGGTGGAAGGCCGCTTGTTTTCTTCGCTCATGCTTCTCCCCGAGCGAGGCGTTGCTCTCTCACTGCGGCCCCTGGCGGCCGCTCTCGGGACGCAGCAAAAAGTCGGCGGCGAACGAGGGGGGGAAGTGAGAAGGAGAAGGCCTTCTCA